AAATCTGTTTTTCAAAGACATAGAAAAAAAAGTCATAAAAAGGGGGGAAATGATCTAAATAGATATTTCTAAAAAGAATTTTTAAAATTGCTTGGGCCTGGCGTGATAGCGCAGGGGTCAAAGTCCTCGCCTAATCACACCAGGGTCCCATATGGATGCCAGTTCTAATCCCTCAGCCCCACTTTCCATCCAACTCCCTGCTTGTGCCCTGGGAAGGCAGTCGAGGACGACCCAAAGCTTAGAGACCCTGCACTCACATGGGAGACATGGAGGGAGCTCCTACTCCTGGCGTCGAATTGGCTTAGCCCCAGCTGTTGCTACCACTTGAGAAGTGAACCATTGGACGGAAGATCTTCCTCTCTGTCTCTTCTCTTCTCTATATATCTGCCTTTCCAATAAATAAATAAATCTTTAAAAATAAAATAAAATTGCTAGCCAGCATTTGGAAAATGGTCAGCATCACTATCATGGAAATATGTATCAAAACTATAATGAGATATCCCATTCCAGTTAGAATGGCCGTCACTAAAACACACACACAAATAATGAATGCTGACAAAAATACAAAAAAAAGAGGAACTCTCGTAACTTGGTGATGGGAATGCAAATTAGTAAATCTATTTAGAAAACAGTACGATGATTTCTCAAAACTGAAAACAGAGCTGCCACATGATCCAGTAATTTTACTCCTGGGAGGATAACCAAAGAAAGTGAAATAAGAACATAAAAGAGACATCTGCACACAAATGTTTATTCCAACTCTAGTTACACTAGTCAAAATATGAAATCAAGTGATCAAATGAATTGATGAATCTATGGCGAGTTTACACAAAGGAATATTGTTTATTTAGAAAAAGAGTGAAATCTTGTCATTTGCAGCCGCATGAATGAGCCTGCAGGTCATTATAGTAAGTGATATAAGCCAAGAACTAGGTTTGGGAAGATAAAAGGCCTGATTTTCTCACAATATCAAGTAACACAGAGGTCAGGATACTGGAAAGGGTACCGGGAGGGTAGAGGAATAGAGTGAGGCTGGAGAGAGATAACAGAATGTAATTAACATCCCCAGCTGTAGGCAACCACCTAGGTTGCCTTGTACCTAGGTAAGTGTTACAACACTGCTGAGGAGGTGGGTAACAGCCACTGGGCATTCTGGCCCTGGTTAATTCCAGCTGCGTATGCCAGCATAGTTGCCCATTTTATTTATTTATTTTTTAAATCCAGGGAAAATGGGGCAGAGCGCCTGCTCTACCACCATAGGCACACACCAGCCAAGACCACCCACTGCCATCACTGCCATCAGATGTATGTGGGGGACCATGTATTCTTATGGCCTTGGTGACTAGAGTTGGGTCAGTATGGGGTGACTGAGGGCTTATTCGACATATATGAAATGATTCCACAGACCAAGCCACTGCACCCATGGGTCAGAAAGGGAACTGAGAAGGGGTGGAGCAGAAGGGCAAATCTGGAGGGCTTCCGTGGGTCATATATTACAAGAGCCAGGGCTGAGGGTGGACTGGGCCAGGCCAGGCTGCAGCGCCTACCATCCCTTGTGAGATCTGTGATTTGGGGCAGTTCTAGTAGGAATTTTTTGGAGTTACCCTGGGTAGGTGGCATCAACCTGCTGGTGAGTGTCGGGCTACGGTCAGTCTACCCCGGGCTGGGCTGCAGCATCCACCAGGGCTGAGAGTGGACCTGGTAAAGGATATCTGGGGACACACCTGCTAGGTGGTGACACCTGCAGAACCATGTGAGATCTGTGTCTGGGAGTTGGCCTGGCTGGGCTAGGCCATAGCAGCTGCTAGTGTGTGCAAGAAGCAGGGTTGGGAGCAGACTGGGTTGGGCTAGGCCACATCACCTACTAACACACACAAAGCCAGAACTGATTTGCCGTGATTATTTAGGGACATCCCAACCAGGCCATAGCACCTGCCAGTTTGCTTGAGAGCCAGGGCTGGGAGTGGTATGACCAGGCAGTTGCAACCACTGGTACATGTGTTGGCTGGTACAGGGGTGGACTGATTCTGACCTTGTACCAGCTGGCACACATTAGAACAAGATCTAGTTATCTCAGGTGAGTTTTTTTTTTTTTTTTTAAACGGGGGTTCCCTAACTAGACTGCTGTGCTTAATCTCAGACCTCAGGAAACATCACACAGACATTTGCTGGAAAGGAAGGCATGAAAGATAAGACAGCCAGCTCATCTAAGCCAAGAGTAGACTTTACATATGTCATCAAAATATGAAAAGAAGGACAGTCTGAACAACATCTAGGCCAGCCTGTGCAATAAGCACCTCTATGGGCTCACTGAGGCAGACAAGTCCTGCCAACAGGCCTTAGAATTCTGTACCTCTGGTGTAACAAAGCTGACAATTAAGATGACTCAAGTAACAGCTTTGGAAAATTCTTCCCCACACTGGGTCCTCAAACAACCAAAAAACAACAGCCTTCTCCATTCCCAAACACTGAAGTAGTGTGACAGCAAGGAGCGGCACACTTGTAATAAACACTTGTGTGATATTTTGTCCTTGAAATGTTAATTCTGCTTAGTCTTTGGTGCTTCCCATTCCATGAGCTGATTTTTATGAAATAATTATTTCCCTTTCCTTGCTTTATTTTAAAGACTGAGATACTGAGACGGAAGGAAAGTGTCAGGGAGAGACATAGCAAAGAGAGAGGAAGAAGAAGAGAGAGATACACAGAGGTCTTTATTCCACTGGTTCACTCTGCTGGTACCCACAACAGCCTGGGCTGGCTGACCCAAGAGCATGCTGGGGATCAGACAACCTGGTCACCATGGCTCTGTCCTACTGCGAGCAAGAGCAGGAAGCTGGAGTCAAGAGCAGTACCAGGTTTGAACCCAGGTGATCTGAGACTGGATGTGATCATCCCAGGTGACCCTAAGGGGGGTTGCTTTTTACTCAGATTGCTAAAAAATTTTATGCTGTTTCATTTCTTTTCTGTCTTTTTATTTTTTAAAATTTGATGTCAGAAGCATGAGATGGGATACCGCACTCTGGCAGTAAAGATAGCTAGATGTGTGTTCTTGCTGAGTCCATGCTTGCTGAATTTTGAAGTCCTGGTGAGTCTCTCCAGGATGTGAAGTTCCACAATCGACAGGTGGAGCTCTGAGTTTCTTTGCTCTGTTGAGGACCTTTGAATTCTACCTCCCCTCCGGGCATGTGCATAACCTGCTATTGCTCATCTTTTCATGTCATTGCCTAGGTTGAGCATTTCTTAGACATGGCTGTGTTATTCCTGTGACTCATCCAACAACTACATTATACTGTTATGAGGAATTTGCCCCCTGAAAGTAAGTGCAATTTTGCCCGTTTAAAAACATTTTGTGCCTTTGTTCTTATCACAGCACACCGATGTGGCAGCTGTAGAGTAGGAACATGTCTTTTCTTTTTCTTTTTTCAAGATTTATTTATTTTTATTGGGAAGTCAGATATATAGAGAGGAGGAGAGACAGAAAGGAAGATCTTCAAGTGACAGCAACGGCTGGTGTAGCGCTGATCCAAAGCCAGGAGTCAGGAACTTCCTCAAGGTCTCCCACGCGGGTGCAGCGTCCCAAGACTTTGGGCCATCCTTGACGTCCCAGGCCACAAGCAGGGAGCTAGATGGAAAGTGGAGCTGTCGGGATTAGAACCGGTGCCCATATGGAATCTCAATACGTTCAAGGAGAGGACTAGAGCTGCTAGGCCATGGTGCTAGGCCCAGGACCATGTCTTTTTATTTTGTATCATCACTGCATTAGAACTGTGTCCATAACACAGAACCTGCTTAATAGGTGGATGGGTGAATGGATGGACGAATACCAAAGGAGTGGGTGAGGACACATGGTGGAGAGGCATGTCAGGTGAGTGATTGTTCCCTTATTTCTATGCGGCATCCCTGGCAATGGGATCCGGTAACTGAGGTGAGAAAGATTTGCCCCCCCCCCCCTTCTTTATAGGACACTGGCTTCAGCTTTGCCAAATTCCACTTCTGTCTTCTGTTATGCCAAGATAGTTAGAAACGTGAAGTTACTTTATGCCATGTCCTATTTTACATACAATTAATGTATTCTATTGAGTTGGAGAGTTTGCCAAGTCCAGTGTCTTTGTGCAAACCTGTGATCCCATACACAGAATTCTAAGAATTTATCTGGTGAGGAGCAGAAAACGGGACGATTGGAAAAAGGGTGGAGCTCAGGTATTACCTAGCGGTAGTGATCAGCCTCCAGCTAGAAATGAGCATTGGAAAGGCCAGTGAAGAGTCTGTTGCTGGTAACTGATGTGAAGCCATGTTGTGAGAAAATATTTCAAAGTTAATGGGAAGGTAGAATAAAAAAATAAGGTTATTTTAGTGAAAAAAAGAAAACAAAATTTTGTTCTTAAGAATGATCCCTCGGGCCCGGCGCGGTGGCGCAAGTGGTTAAAGGTCCTCGCCTCGCACGCCCGGGATCCCATATGGGCGCCGGTTCTAATCCCGGCAGCCCCGCTTCCCTTCCAGCTCCCTGCCTGTGGCCCGGGAAAGCAGTCGAGGACGGCCCAAAGCTTTGGGACCCTGCACCCGCGTGGGAGACCCGGAAGAGGCTCCTGGCTTCGGATTGGCATAGTATCGGTTCACTTGGGGAGTGAATCATCGGACGGAAGATCTTCCTCTCTGTCTCTCCTCTCTGTATATCTGCCTTTCCAATAATAATAAAAAAAGAATGATTGTTAAATATCTTATGGAGTAAAATGGGGAACATGAAGTGGGTCCAGAAGTGCCTGGGTTAAGTTTGGCTAAGTAGAAAGTTTTTGTCAGCAGGCAGATATGAGGGAGTCTGAAGTCTTACTTAGCTTGAAACAGGAGGGCAGGAAGAGGGAGAAGTGTGCTGCTCTATGACGCGGAGTTTTATTCTCACAGTTCGCTATTCTCCCCGGGGTCTCAGATCAGAGGAAGAGAAATGTCTCCAGAATAGATTGTGGCTGACATTAGAGTGGCAGAAAGAGACACAGAGACCTAGATGATTCTGCAAAGTTTATTGTGTCAACACCATGTAGGCTCAGCAAAGCTTGAGAGGGGTTGAGGAAGGTGTGATGAGGACAGATGGTGACATCCAGGGTGGTTGGAGGGACAGGATTTTAGCTATCATTGTGGAGCTTGGCAGATGACAGATGGCATAGAAGCTAAACCGTCCCATCCAGGTGAACTGGAACTATTTGGTATGCGGGAGAGTCCTCGGGAGATCTTTGAGTACAAGCAATTACGAAGAATTTTTTCTTTAGTTTCTGTTTATATCTGCAGTTGCTGAAATTATGCGAGCCTCCCGTGAGATTACAGTCAGTTAAATGGACCAGCACTTTGCTTTTATGGCAATTTTTCCTGGGGCTTCTTAAGCAGCGTCTAGATCGGGTATGACAAACACTCACAGCATTTGGAAATGGCACATGAAGAAAGGTGTTCTTGCCTTTGCAGTGTCCTGTGTAACTGTTAACCATCCGCATTGCACTGTTGCAACTGATGTTACTGGACGGATGTATGTGCTGGATTTGAAACCATTGAGCTGGTGTTAGATTTGGAGGCACGGTCTGAGTGCAGAAAGTTAGCCCGCACAACCACAGCAACAACAGGAACTGAAATCGGAAATTGTGCAGCTTTGAATCCATATCTCCTGTAAAGAGAATGAAGAGGCCGTTCTTGTTATGGTACATTCTTTGTGACTCACTCTGAAGTCCCCTGCTGTTCCTGTGGGGCCATATTTCCATTCCCACCCTCAAAGGATACCATGTACCTGAACATTTCAATCCATCCCTCCTTCTGTGGCCGCCTGAAGCACTCCCCTCTGTGTCCTGGCATGTAGGGCCCATGGTCTTACCCAGTGTCTGTGTGGGATCTCCTTCGAGAGTGGATCCTGGGGGCATCTGCTTCCCCACCACAGGGGGCTGTAAATATACAGCAGCAGCAATGGGTGGAGCTGGCAGAGCAAGGTGGCTTCTGAGTCTTGCCCGCGCGGAAACCCACAGGCTGGGTGACATCCCGCTTGTGCAATCACTGTTCAGTTGGCCTCTAACTGACAGCCAACAACAGCCCTGCTGTAGGGAATTCAACTTAAAGTCATCCTAGGTAGTACAGACTGTTTTCAGTTGGATCTTTGCTCTCGAGGAAAACTGTACATTGCCTGCAGATGAATGCAGACTTTGTACCTGCACAGGCCATGTAAAGGCAGAGGTCCTCATGGCTGGCCCAGCACTTAGGACCGAGCCAGGAGGTGCCTTTGGAACTGGTAGAACTCTGCTTCATTTTCAGTACAATTCCTGCTTCACCTCAATGAATGTTCTCTATCTTCTCATCTATTTGGGCTGCAAATTTGAGCTATGATCTGTAATCTGGGGGCTGGTGTTGTCCTTTCTAACCAAGTTCAATTTGTGATATTATAGGAGAACGCATCTGTATTTATGAACATTTATGGGCAGGGTACTATGTTCCTGAAGGTACCAAAGTCATGATATGTGGTTTGATACATAAAGCATATGTTATTTCTGGTCCTAATAGAAATAGAAGGAAAGACTTTAGACACATAGCCTTATTACAGTTTGATAGGGATAATATTATCCATGGGAATGTTTTAAACTCATTTACACATTTTAAAAAATTTAATTGACAACAAGAGTGACATAAACACACAAACACATATGGAGAGCTGTGTACTGCAGTTTCTCTCCATGTCACGGTATGCTTGGTTCCATTATACAGTTCTTCTAGATGAGTATATGTATATATATATATGTTTTCCTACACAGCTATTGATTCGTGTCTTGATGAAGGTTGCCTTATATCAGAGAGAGAATATGATATTTGTCCTTTTGGCATTGGCTTATTTCTTTGAGTAGAATAGTCTCTAGTTGGGACCATTTTATTTCAAATGGTAGAATTTTGTTCTTTTTAATGGCTCGGTAGTATTCCAGAGAGTAGATGTACCATAGTTTCTTTATTCATTTCTCTTTTGATGGGTGTCTGTATTGCTTCTATGTTTTTGCTGTTGTAAACACCAAATTACAGGTCACTTTTTCATATACAGATTTCATTTCCTTTGGATATAGCCCCAAAAATGGGATTACTGGGTCACCTGGTAGATCAAAATACAAGATCAATAGATCAACAAGTAAATGTGTATTGGCATATATTTATCTAGAGCAACTATATAATGGAGGCAAGTATACTGTGAAGATATATTGCAGTATGCATCTTTAAATCTGAATGATAGACTCCCAATGAAATTGTTAAATATATCTTCACAATAGAATGCTGAACTTTCTACCATTATCTGTAACTACAATGTTAGTTACTTAGCCCTGAGCCTAAGGAACTGTATCATGAAAAAAAATAATAAAATTATTTTAGAAGGAGAAGAAATAAATGGAGAGAGACAGACAGAGACAGAGAACTCTTCCACTTATGATGGGCCAGGCTGACGCCAAGGATCAAGAACCTCATCTGAGTCTCCTAGGCTGGCACAGAGGCCCATCTTTCACTGCTTTCCCAGGTGCATTAGCTGGGAGCTGATTCAGAGCACAGAAGCTGGGACTTGACAGTGCCCAAGCAGCAGCCTTATCCACTATACCACAACTCTGCTTCTAAACAGTGTTTTACTAATCTGATAACATTTACCTTAATCTTATTTTATTTTTATTTGAGAGGTTCTTTCTCTCTGTAACACACACACACACACACACACACACACACACATTAACCCCCAAGTCACTCTTTCTTAACAACCATGCCCTAGATATTTACTTCTGTCACATATCATAATTAAGGTGAACATTCATGTAAGTATTAATGCAAAATTTCTTCAAGAAGTGAGTGTGCAAATTAAGCTTGTAAAGTGTTTATGCTTTCAACAACAAAATTGCTAACTATGCCATGTTGTTGAAGTCAGGGATATGTTTATGCTGCCACAAAATGTGAGGTGTGTAATGAAACAGGCCAGAGGATATTACACTTAAGAAAGGAAGACAAGAGACAAAATAGGAGACAGGGAAGGACTGAAAGGGCACAAATAGAGAGACTGTGAGAAGATGAAACTCATTTTGCACATGCTCTTTCCCTCTCCTACTGCTTGCAATCTGGTGTGTGTGGAGGCAGATGAAGGGCCACATCTGGTGAATTTATGGGGCTGGAGGTTTTATGGAACTGGAGAGGGCCTTGCATCCCTAGTACCTAGTGCCCTGCCTGGCATGGAGTTCTTGCTCAGTAAGCGTTTGATTGATGCAGGTGCATATAACACCCCAGTACACTGATTATGTTGAAATCTCTGAATATATAAATCAGAATGTTTCACCAATTACATATTACCTTCTATTCTACGTCTCAATGATCATTCTTCTGGGTGTCCTGCTTTGAATTCTGGCTATCCTCTCAGACTTCCACAAGAACACTAGAGGTCAAATCCATCACCAATGCCATCCTGCCCAGAGGCAAGTCCTCACTCTCATATCCTCCAACCATCCCAGGGTCCTTGTTGGAATGCACTCATCTCTGAAACATTTGTATGCCTCCCACACAATTTACAGTCTTACAACTTACAGTGCTTGAAACCTCTGTAGAGCATGCTTGTGCATGACTTCTAAAAACTAGCTGGGAATTTTACCTTGGACTTGACCATGCTCTTGTTTTCTTTCTATCAATATCTTTAGCCAGTTCAGTCAATCTTGCCAATAAACGCTTTCTTCATTCACTCTGTGCCTATCTTAGAAGTTTCCAAGTTACCAAAAGTCAAGTAGAGACTTGATAGAAGGAGTATTATAAAATGCACTTGTGAATATCCTGGGCATCATAACAAATCCTCTACATATAGGTGTGTATAGAACATTTGCTTCTAATCCATGTTAATACATAACTATGCTGTTAGCGACACTCTACAAAGGACAAGCTAGATAGATGGTGATTAGAACTATCCAGAGAGTTAAAGGGGAGCCATATTTCTCATTTAGTTTGTACCTCTTTGATTCTCTTAAATAGTGAAATTCAACCTTTACCAATTACTCCCTATCCTAGAAGAACAACATTGCATTATTTCATCCTACTTGGCCCTCCAAAGTGAGAGAAAGGAATCGATCAAAGTTAATGATTCACCTTGTCAATAACCATCATTTGCAAGTCTTTAAGAACTAAAATAACTAAGATCATTGTGAAGAAAGCAGTTACTTCTCCCTGTTCAGATACACCCTGATTTTCTTCTCCAGATTCTGGAACTTTGCTGGGGGCAGCAGAATAATCTGCAATCCCTCTCTACCTGTCCAGCACAGGTGCTGCTGGGAGATAAGGAATTGTGACCAAGGTTGTTCCAGGACCCTTGGGTAGAGAACTACCCTTGGGTAGTTTCCCTCTTCTGTGGAAGTGTTGACTTTCAAGGGCTCTTTGGGGAAGATAAACCTCAAAGAGGAACCTGGGACATATGTTACCTGTTTGGAGCCCAAGATATTCCTCCCACTCTTTTTCTTTTTTCTTGGAAGTCAAACCCCCTTCATATCGGTTATAAAATGTGCACCCCAGGGACTGAGTAACTAACTGCCCTCTGTGCTCTCAGGGGGATCAAACCAGAGATCAGGTGAGTGGCCCAAGCGTTGATATCGGGAGCAGCTTCCACCTGAGAATTGGAAAGAAGGGAGTCAAATGTTAGTATTTTTCTCACTCTTAAATGTGGGATTTTGGTTTACCTGTAGCTTCTGTGCTCAGCTCTGATCTATGGGTCAGAAGGTTTGGCTGAAACTCGTGCCCCAAAATCTTCCGTCAAGTATAAATCATTGAGGGGCAGAGGGTATGGGCTTCAAAGATACCCAGGGGGCTGGAGAAGAGGCAGCCTGCAATTGGAAGGAGGAAAACAGCCCTCACTGGAATTTGATGAGATCCTTTTAGATGCCAGTGTCTGGCACTGAAATGAATTTCCCTCAAGTTCTAAAAACAACAGTCTATCAGATAGGATCCTGATGATAATGCAAGGCTGTAGTTTGGATCTACAATGAGCTGTCTACACACTGGACTTACATGTGCCTTATTTTTTAAAGTATACTTTGGGTGAAAGAGACAGCAGTATCCAAAGACAATTTTCCTAGAATTTTAGGTCCTGTGTAGGTCACCACCTAGAGGAATAGAAGGCCTCTCTCCAACTAGTGGCAGGAAGACACACTTGGAGAAAGGTGTGCATTTGCTCACCTGGAAAACCTCTCAGGAAGACAACAGACATCTGGCTGACCTGAGAATGAACTTGTGGATGGGAGAACCCACAAGGGAGACGAGGAATTCTCTAAGAGGATGCTTTCCCTTCTGTCTCTCTCTTTCCTAATTAGACTCTTCCAGAAGAGTGAGACCATTATGGCTTGGGCCAAGCTCGTTGTCCTGTTCTCATTAGTCCTGGGGCTGCCATTGCTGGGATTGGCACAGTTTGGTGTGGACTCCCTGGCCTTGAAGTTCCAACGGCATCACATTGACCCAACACTTCCCCACAGCAGGGCCTATTGCAACCTAAAGATGGAAGAGCAGGATGTGACACAGGGTTGCAAGCCCCTGAACACCTTAGTGCATGAACCTTTAGAAAAGGTCCAGGCAGTCTGCCTTCAAGAGAATGTCATCTGCAAGGACGGCCAAACCAACTGCTACTGGAGCAAGTCCAAAAGGCCACCTGTTAAATCCATCCATGTACCCCAACTGCAGGTACCAGACCTTTCAGAAAGACAGATACATCGTTGTGGCCTGCCAGGGGAACCCATTTGTGCCTGTCCACTATGAAACTTCAGAGGAGTAAGGCCAGAGCAAAATGGAGTGCTTTCCCCCATCTTCAGCCTAGTCCCATCATTTTGACACTGGCATGTACTTTTTCCTTCCCTAACATTCGGAAAACAACTCCAGTCAGGACTTCCCACCGCCCCCCCCACACACACCCTTTTTAGGTCTTGTTTCCA